TGAATTCTTGAACCAAATTGAAATCAATGGTCAAAGTGGTTTACAAGTCGTTTTGAGCAAATGGTTGGAGCACTCAGTTATGTTTGCAGGATATGATGAGATTAGACAAAAGTAAGTTTCTCTTTCCAATCCTACTCGTAAATTCAATCGTCCGAAGGCTAATCATAAATAGTGTCATCGCACTCTCTAAAATTTTCAGTCTCAATGATCCACGTGTTGGTCAAACCATGGTTAAGGGTGATTTAATCATTCCAACCAGTAATCGGATCATGACTCGATCCAAAGCCAAACTCAGTAAGGACGGATCATACTTCACGCCCCCACCACAACTAACACGACAATCAGACCCCGATCAATACACAATCATTCCTGCATCGTTGAAAATCATCAAAGTCCTCATTGAAGAACTTATTTCAGCATCAGGACTTCAAAATGCAGCAACGGCGGCAGCAGCAGCGGAATTCGCGGATGAAGATGGAGATGATGACTCATGGGAAGATCTTCCAAGTGTACTTGATCTAGGTTTGTCAAGTACAAAGGCAGATCTTATGGCATTTGGGGAGGGAAGAGGGGGTTTCGGAAGAAACAGAGATGATGAGACGCAAGCTTACTTGACCGAATTCTTTGTTAAGGCTGGAAGAGAAAATGTAGGAGGGTTTAATGAGTTTTATGAGGCATTATCGGATGAGGAGAAGGTTAAGTTGCAAGAATTGGCTCAGGGAGCTTGATTGATGAGTCGAGGTAATGTGTGAGATAACATTGTGATGGATAGATGGTTTTTTGGGTAACTGGAGATTCGTATGATGCTACGATGATATGTTGAGGTAAATCGATGTATAATTTGCCTGTCTGGCTGGTGCGCAAACAGGATTTTATTACATGGTATGATATGGCATCAAATGGATCCAGACACCGCAATGTATTCGCTCCAATTTGGAGGAATGAATGCGAGTGATCTGCATCACGAAATCATGACTTGAACGATGATGACGGGGAATTCTTGAGCTAAAAATAAAAGTAAATACTTATGATGGATGGATGGGCTGGGTACAAACAAATATCATATGTTGTAGATGGATAGCTTGATGGATGGTCTGATGGATGGTTTACTACATGTATGCATGGAAATAAGATAGCATAGAATAGCATAGGATATATTAGTAAGGTGGTTGGTAATGAATGCTTGATTCCAATGTTTGTTTTGTTTTTGGGTTTGATTGTTTTGTTTTTGGGGTGAATTGTTTGGTGTGTGTCTGGATGGAGATGTAAGGGTTTGAGTGACCAACCAACTGAATACCAAATCATTTGTAGTTGCTCAACACTTGCTTGGGGCGTCGTACCGAGCGTTTCTACTCCAAATCCGAGGAGTAAAAAGTCACTCATATTGTGAGAAGGAAACCCAATAGTCGTTTCCATACATTTCCCCTTCCCCCGGGGGTTTCTCAACAGAACGGTATTTTCTCACTTGACTTTGCATCGTCTTCAACAAAAGCGAGCTTACATTCTTGATCCCCGTAAGGACATAGACTCTACAGCACGGTACCCATAGCATCGGTCAGGGCTCCTCTCAATGATTTCTTTGCTACTATTCAAGCCAACCTTCGTTTGCTTTTCCATTGGACTCCTGGTATCTTGATATCAAAGGTAAACAAACACATACGCTCCTTTCATCTACATGTCCTTTTCTGCTTCGTAGCGCTACATCGAATCCCCTTTACGCCTTTTGGTCTTGATGATTTTGGAGCATCCCAATAATATAGCAGTTCTCTACGAGTGAGTATATCACGAATTCTCTTTGCCAAACTGACACTCGAATTGTGCACTGTCGTTTCCGTGAATTAGGCTTATAGCACTGTGTCGAAATTGGGATTGGATTCTAATTTCTCGAGGTGGCTTCTGCGGTGTTAGTCTTGATGTAATGACGCAATCGGGAGGCATGGAGGTAAGTTGCCGGAGTAGCTATTCATATTGAGTTTGGCCATTAGTAGCTTTAGCTAATCGGTGATAGGGAATTCCGTTCTATGGATTCTCTTGTACGTGAGAATGGCGATTCGTTCCTGCAGGAGTATGTTCCAGTGAGGGTACTTTGCGTATGGTGGCTGACTGAGATGAGGATTGGTGGTGGCTGACTCGAGGTGTTGCTTCTGGAATTATATATTCCGATGATGATGTATTGAGTGGTTTAGAAATGGAGATGCTTACTCACATAGTTGTTGCTTGTCAATAGCCGGTAATGAAGCTACCGATGGCGAACCAGTTGAACGGTTTGAGAAGAATGGGACTTGACCAGGAACAATACAAAAGTATCACTCGCGCTGCATATCGTGTAGCAGAATGGACGGGAGTGAAAGCACAGAAGTCGAAGGACGTTAGGTATGATTTGATTGGGCGGGAAGATTCAGAGATAGTGTAAAAGTTCGTGTTGTTCATATGCCAGAGTACTTCTCATGCTAATTATCATTCGATTAACTTGTTTATATCTGCGCTGACATTATTCATCCCAAGAATGTGCTACATTCCCAGAGCGTACATCGGTCTTCGTGAGTTGTCATTAATATTCGTAGAGATGAGAAAATGGAACCATTTGAATCTATGAGAATATGCGTCAATGAAGCTAGAGCATGTATTTGTATTCTCTGATGACGACTAAATGATATTGGTATGTTTCTGGAAGCTTTCCCATTCGTTTTACACGTTTCGTTACATCGCATTACGATGTCGCTCAATTTTCGTATAAAGCTCGAAGGGGAATGTTTCTCTCAGAACGCGGATGCCGAGTACTTGATTCTAGGAGGGAATCAATGCACACCGGATAACATTCTCCTGATATTTACATTGAGAAGCTATTGAAGAGTGAACTTGGTTCATCTCATGAAAGAGTGTAGCGTGTTGAGAATTCTTCCATTTGACCCATCCAGGGATGATGTTTCGTAAGAATCTCATGGCATCGAATGCATTCACTTCCCACGAGCCGACAAAGCACTAAACTTTCTCTCTAGCTTGATAGAAAATGCTTTAAGAGACGAGCACCATGGCTGAAAATGAGGCCTGGCATATAAGCTATAAAATCCCATATCTTGAATCAGAACATTGATGATCGATTGTCCTATCCACCCGGACCGTTTATGGTCATTGTCCACAATAGAAAAGAACATTATCAAATTATCTGCAGGTATGAAAACTTAACCCTGGCCGAAAACATCACACTTGCAATATCCTCTTCGGAGCTGAGAGAAAAATCAGAGTACAGCGACCACACTCCTCTCAAAGACTGTGTCATTACCTTCCCGCCCACTGCTTCATTTGTTTCAAACTGACATTGTTACGGTATCCGTAAAGCTCGAAGGAATCAATGCAATGGAAAGTTTCCTGAAGCATTCTCCCAACCACTGTTCAGCTTTCATTCAAGGCTTGCGAATATTCTTCCGGCTTAATTCCCAGTGTAACATTTGCTCCAATTTTTTAGTCCTACATACTCGTGATCGAATACCAAGCCTTGGCCAGTGTAAACAGCGATAAACACAAGCCCAGGCAGATTCTCAACGAGACATAATATGATGAATTCTAGATCGTGGAATTAATAAGTCGTAATACCTTGGGTCACACACTTCAAGCCAGCTGAAAAAATATGAAGCTTACGCTGCATGTTCTGCACTTCATCTATGAAGTCGCTTGCCAAGTACAATACAAAGCCAAAGTCGTTTATTGACTCAACAACTAAACGGCTTCTTGAAGCCAAGAATCCGAAAGGCGACATTTCTCGATATTGGATACACATTTTCCCATCTAATCAACGTACCGCCAAGTGGCTTTACCACACGGTAATTCGCAGGGTACCTTTGATGTGATACAGCGATGAGAAAATCGTTGCCCGGAACCTCAATCTATCATTCTTGATCGCTTTCTCCAAGAGTTTTGGGGTCTTGGTAGCATTGAATGATTGCGTCCTTGGCGGCCGAGCGCTCAATCGTTCACCCCTTCATGCGAATCGGCTCTCGCAAATTCACCAAAGCAGAATCTTCCATACTCAGGTTTATCCGCCCCTGAATTGTCATTTCATGAGCGTTAAGACTTTTTCCCTATCTCCAAGGGTTGACCCTTGACTTGGCAATTGTGAACTTCGGTCGTTTCCATTAATTGCCTGTACATTTGTGATGACTTGTTCATTCATTAATCCATTTTCATAACCGACGTAGCATAATTGAAAAGGAGTAATTTTTCATGTCCATGCACATATCGCGAGACGGTGAGCCTTTGATGCCACGACATATACTGCGGGAAATGGCCCCCAAAATGCCAAGACAATTCCCCAACCTCCTTCCCCTTGTTCTCTCACAATCGACAACGAATGCATCGTCATCTAATTTCCCCTATCCATCGCATATCGATACTCACCGTCCCTATCAATATCGATAGCATCAAAGTAAGACATATTAACCTTATACTTATCCCGCATCGGTATTGAGATCCGCCCATTGGGAGAATAGCGGATATTGTCTCTCAATAATGCCACAGCTTGCGGTTAGATTCGGGCTCCACGCATTCTATCAACCGTTCAACGCTGCCACGAAAGTTTCCCCGTGCCCAGATTCCTCCATTCTCCATCCTCCACACTTCCAACTTCTTCCAGATTAAATTCTAGTACGGAGTGGTGAGTGGAGACCCCGACCGAGGAAATACAAAATGCGGATGGGGAATCGAGATGTGGACGGAACATCAACAGGAAAATCTCTCAAGTTCCTCGGCGTGGAGCATGAGAAGAGCGGGCGCGGGCCGATTGCATTCATTGGTGCGGTGGAGCACGTTCTTCGATGGAGTTCGAAATTCGAATTCAGGAGCGGTGGATGACTATGGGGACCGGAAACGTGTGGCAATGGCAGAAACAGATTGTTACCGTGCCATTGTAACCGTTCACCGCTCGCACTCGCATTCGCACTCTCTGTCGCTGTCGCTGTCGTAGCATTGGGCAAGCACGTAAACCCGTTCAGGCATAATTCAGCATGTTGCGCATTGGTATCGTGTTTACAAAAATTCTCCGAAGATCTTCCACCCATCACAGGCAGAGGAAGAGGAAGACATCATCGCGATGAACACCAACTACAACAATGAAATTAGAAGAGACCCTCACAAGCTCTTTTCCCCAAACAGTCGCACGGAAGCAAACAATCACTGCCCCACCATAGCTACGCGCATTAACCTCGAGCTTCTCTACCAGCAGTCGCAAAGAAGGCAAAACGAGCAAACCACCTATCCAAAAAACGCACCCATCTCCGCTGTGGACCATTCCTTTCCCTCCTTCACGCTTGTAAGTTGTATTTCCGTACAATCGCTCCAATTTTCAAGGCACGCTATGGATACACCTTTGGCTACAATCACGATGGATTCCTCCATGTCACTAGCCCAGCAGGGAGAATCCCCTGTCTATCCAGGCCCTCCCCTGGTTATCGTAGCATCCCTCTTGTTTCCCGGGTGATATCGTAACTTTTACCTGCCAAAATTCACAACTGTTCCTGCAAATGGCCAGGTCCTCTGGTATTAAGTTATCCACACATACAGTAAGTAATTTGGTACCTGCCTTAATCACCCAGCTCCCATTCAAGCGTCCGCGAACCAGCGGGTCTCAATCTGCCTGCTAAGTTCAAGATGGGATAAACCAGGCACCAAATCCGTGAGGAAATTTCAAATTGTGGAGATTGAATTATCTTTTTTTGTATTGGAGCTTGTACGGTAGACTACAAGGTAAAAAGATTTCAAAAATGATAATAATTAAAATAGTCACAACAATAACAATAATAATAGAATGAAATAAATCTATGTTGATTTGGGGCTGGCTGTACGAACTATTGGCTAATGAATGGGTAGCAAAAGGCGCTTAATTGTGTGACTTTGACATACCTCGGAAGGTTATGAGTGAAAGAGTGAAGATCTGTATCAAAGAGAGAGCCTAGAAGGGGACGGAAATGAAACGTAGAGTAATAGAGAATGAAATGGATGGGGCCTCAGAATTGTAAAGGAGAAAAAGGGTACTGCAAAGCGGCAGATAGGTTTCGCATCTAACTCAAGGTCAAAGCAGTCAAGAAACAGAAAAATGTAGCACAATTTTATTCAAAGTCACAATTCACAAAGCACAGCACAGCACAAGACAGGCACAAATCAAGATATTGTAATGAAGTCGTTCCATTTCTCAGTATATACATCTAATCATCCTCTTCTGCTCCGTGACATAAACACATCCCTGGAATATCCCAACCCATTTACCCATCTATAGGTACTATTCAAACATAAAACATAAAACATAATTGAAAATCTCGCATCTCGTAATAAAGGTCTATAAGGTGTAAATAGTATGGATTAAGGTGAGGCGACAATTAAAGGTGTATTGACGACAAGTCAATGGGAAGTCGAAACGTCTGCAGCTCTGTACTGGCAAACTATATTGACAAGTTGTTTCGCAACCACAATGACAAATGCCGAATTGAGGATGACGAGGGGATATTAGGAACGCCTGTCTTTCTCCATATTCTCCATGTGAAATTTCCAGATTTTTTGTAACTTTTAAATATTTTTTTACTTTTTCATCTGTCTTGTCTTTGCAAGAGAGAAGCACTCAAATTAGGGATGAGATAATCTAATCGTCATCCTCAACCTCAGCCTGCTTTTGAACGATGTGGTAACGGTGGACACCGTCAACTTGGGAGTGTTCAAGAGCAACCTTGGAGAGATGGGCGATGATGTTCTCCATTTGGGTATCAGCGTGGCTGCGTCTGGCACGTCCAAGGTTGTCCAACCAAGACCATTGGTTCAACAGGTAGTAGACAATGGCAGTGACAATGGTGACACCGATGGAGTAACCCCAAACGATGACAACAGTGACGATAGAAGTGTGACCGTTCTGGGAGAGGAGAACGTTGTTGGTAACTGGGTCAGATGGCTCACCAGCTCCGCCACACAACCAACCGAAGACACAGAAGAGAGTAGCAATGACATCGACAATGAAGATAGCGATAACCAATTGCCACGATGGCCAGGTGTTACCACCACGGGTAACGAAGATGAGCCAGTTCTCAGTGAGGGAGACTTCCAAGAAGAGCATACCTTGGATAGATCCGAAGTTCTCGATGAAACCACCGTTTGGCACGAAGAGAGCACCACGCATGATCCAGGTACCGAGAGCAAGCAGAATACCGAGGACGACAGAGATAATCCAGATCTTTGGCAATTGCCATTCGACAGGGCGTTGTTCAAAGTGAGCATTGTCATAAGCGACAGCGATGGTAGCCAAATCAGCGAAAAGGGCGAGGAAAACAATAAGCTCGACACGAATGGTCTCATTGATGATAACCATGGAGGTAACCAAGTAGATTTCCAAATGGAGACAGAGAGCGATACGGTATTGGATATAAGCCTTCATACGTTGGAAAATTTGACGGGCGATCTTGATGGCAGAGACGATAGTGTTAAGACCAGGGGCAAGGAAAACGATATCAGCGGCGGCTTGAGCGGCTTCAGTAGCACCCTCGACAGCAATACCACAGTCAGATTTCTTGAGGGAAGGAGCGTCGTTAACACCATCACCAGTCATAGCAGTCAAATGTCCACGTTGTTGCAACATCTCGACGACTTGGTACTTGTGCTCAGGGAAAACTTCAGCGAAACCATCGGCGCGCTCGACCAAATCGTGTTGAGTAGTACCAGTAAGACCACCGTGGATGAGTTTGTCAGAGTTGTAAACCTTGGTACCGAGAGCCAACATCTTGCAAGTTTCCTTGGCAATAGCAATGGCGTCACCAGTCAACATCTTAACGGAGAGACCAAGAACTTGAGCTTCGGCGATGGTGGCAGCGGTATCCTCACGGGGAGGGTCGAACATAGGAAGCATACCAAGTAATTGCCATGGTCCGTTACCTTCCTTAACAGCAACACCGAGAGAACGGAAACCACGACGAGCGAATTCCAAAGTCTTGGCCTTGTACATAGCGGCAACCTCAGCGGAACATTCAGACATTCTCAAGATGGCACTTGGGGCACCCTTAGCACAAGTCCAGGTAACACCATCCTTGACGACGATAGCAGTAATACGCTTGGAGACAGGGTCGAAAGGAGCGAAGTTCTCAGTTCTCCATCCTTGTTCGAGGATCTTACGGGCAGCTGGGTAACGCTTCAAGGTAAGAATGGTAACTTTATCGATAGGATCCAAAGACTTGACGTTGTGGGAAGAAGCAAGAGCAGCGACAGCCATCATCCAGTTAACATCGACACCCTCGGCGACGAATGGTTCACGAATGGACAATTGATTGGCAGTAAGAGTACCGGTCTTGTCAGAGCAGAGAACATCAACACCAGCAAGGGACTCAATAGCGGTAAGCTTTTGAACAATAGCCTTCTCCTCAGCGAGGTAAGCAGCACCGACAGCGAGAGTGGTGGTGGTGACGACTGGAAGACCGACGGGAACACCGACAATCAAGAGGATAAGAGCGTAATGGAGCAAGTTGACGGAAGAGTGTTCTGGGGTAGCGAGTTTCAAGTGACGGAAGAAACCACCGATCCAAGAGATCAAGATCCAGCCGACGACCAAAACCAACAAAGACGTACCGATGGAGTTCATGATAGCCTTGAAATGACCTTGATCTTGAGCACCAGTGACGAGGGAAGCAGTACGACCGACGAAGGACATGCGAGCACCGTGGGTGACAACGGCATAGGCCTTTCCACGCTTGCAACCAGTTGTATAGTAGATAACATCAGCGACGTACTTGTCGACAGCCAAAGATTCACCAGTCATGGCAGATTGATCGATAGCGAGAAGAGCATAGCCGGAACCGTGCTTTCCTCCGTGTGCATCATCATCATCATCCTCTTCCTTTTCGCTCATTTCGTGGCTGCGTTGGTTGAGGAGTTCTTGTTGGTAGGTTTCGTATCCGTTAGGGTCGTCATAAGCGCAAATAATTCTAGCATCGGCGGGAACGACATGTCCATCTTCGATAATGATCTATTGGCAGATTGTTATTAATGTGATCGCGCATTGATGCGGTGTCGTTGTGGTGTAACTTACAATGTCACAGGAACCAATTCACGAGCCAAGATTTCAACTTCAGCACCATCACGAACAACAGTAGCCTTCAAAGCAATGTCACCTATGATTGAGGTTAGCGACGAAATGGGATTGTGCGGATTGGTGCAATAGCTTACCCTTCAAACTAGCAACGACATCGGCAGCTTGTTTTTCTTGATACCAACCGACGACAGCGTTAAGCATGAGAATACCGATAATAACACCGAAATCAATCCAATCACGCAGACCAGCGGCGAGGAGGACAGCAAGTTCCATAACTGTTGCCGAGATTAGTGGAGGTCATGTAGAGCGAATTGGAGAAAACTTACCATAGAGGACAGGACCCTTGAAGAAACCGATGAACTTCCAGAACAAGCTCTCGTTCTCGGTGGTCAATTCGTTCCATCCAGTCTTCTTACGACGGTTCTCGACCTCGCTGGCAGAGAGACCTTGTCGCATACCGGTGTTGAGCCAGTCATCTGGGGTCTCGAAACCAGCTCCATCACTGCCCTTGGCCTTCTTGCCCTTCTTCTTCTTGCCAGCGTTGGCTGCCTCTTCTTCTTCGGCAGCGAGCTTCTCTCCCTCTTCTCTTCCCTTATACTTTGAAATATATCGAACAAGTTGTCCATATTCTCCGAGTTTTTCGTCTTCGTACTCTGGTCTGGCCGCCGAAGCGCCGTTCTCAATGTCTCCGTGAGCCATTGCGCTTTAGTGTGGTAGGATGAAGGAAAGATTATTATTAACTCCCACCGTGACAAAGGCAAACTGAGTAGACTGAAAAGAAAATGAATTGAATTTGGGGGACGATAGCAGATTATATATCTGAGAGACCGAGTGTGATCAACTATCCTAGTCCCAAGCAAGATTGGGTAAGGTCGGTTTTTGATTTTTCTTCTTCACCCTTCGGCGTCATCCTCGGACGGTGGTCACAGACAATTTTGGCGGCATGACTTGTGAATTGGAAAAGAAGCTACTGGGGGGCCTTGAACTAGATCCATGGGTAAGCTTGAGTAAAAGTCTGGTATATCTGGCGAGGGTCTGGGGCAGAAACCAACGATGAGCTTAGGAAAGTTTTCTATCGGTGAAGTTAAAAAAGGTCACCGTAATGATAGAGAAAGTGGATGATATTACTTTTAGCGTCATGGTAGTTCATGGCGGATTGTTTTGATTTTTGGTGAGGGATTTTCAAATGATTTCCTAAATGCTCCATTAAAAACCTTACCTCTTAGCTAGACCTGCTTAGCGCTCGACTGTTGCCCCCAATTAGGTAAAGATTCCTTCAATATCCGATTAATATCCTTGACAGATCAACTTTTACTCTTCCTTCAATAACTATCGACCTGGGAAGAGAAAGCCGAGTTATCCAGTGTTAACTATTGAGAATCGAGTCGGCTAATCTAGACTGAGTAGTATTATCTAGC